CAACTCTCTCTCCTCAAAAGGACTCAGGCGGTCATTTAAATAATTTCTGACTCACAATGCTGGCCAACGATTAGTGAGGCCCTGCCCAGCCCAGAACACATGAAATGTGAGTGATTTGTTAAGAAAACCATTTGAGTTTGCAAGACTGCACAGGGCTTTTATAAAACTAAAGCCATGCTGGAGAGAAATAGTCCTCCCCACCCCCTTGGGAGATGTGTCATACAGAAAGGTCACACAAGGTCAGCCAAGCTGCATGCACCTTCTGAGACTGGGCAGGAACTGAAGCGCCAAACCTCAAGTGTGCAACGTGCTTCCTTGTTTTGGGGTTAGGTTATATCATTGTGTTTTTCCCCTAACTTTCCATGTGCACACACACGCACACACCCCCATCACTAAAGGATGGAAACAAAATCCCTATGAACTGCCGGTTCCAACAACTTAAGTAAAGGGAATCTGCTAAGGCAAAAGATCTGATTTTTTTTTTTTTTTTTTTTCTGAGACCGAGTCTCGCTCTATCACCCAGGCTAGAGTGCTGTGACACGATCTTGGCTGACTGTAACCTCTGCCTCCCGGGTTCAAGCAATTCTCTGCCTCAGCCTCTCTAGTAGCTGAGATTACAGGCACCCGCCACCACGCCCAGCTAATTTTTGTATTTTTAGTTGAGACGGGGTTTCACCGTCTTGGCCAGGTTGGTCTTGAACTCCTGACCTCGTGATCCACTTGCCTCAGCCTCCCAAAGTGCTGGGATTACAGGCATCAGCCACCATGCCCAGCCTAGATCTGAGATTTTGAAGACCTCAAAACATTTTCTATTGCATATAACTTTCTCTCCTCCCAGAAACAAACTAAAAACTCAGTCCAAATTAATGCTTTTTAAAAAATTGCTTTTTTGAAACAACTGTAATAAATAACTCTAATCTCTGTCTCTCAAACATACACACACACACGTATTGTTTTTTAAAATGAGAGCTCCTCCCCCCAGCTGAGTTGAGGTATGAATGGATTTGAAGTTTCAAATGTAGTTTCCCACATTGTTCTTTAAGTTTGGAAAACAAGATTCCAACTTGGAAAACAAGATTCCAAGTGATACAAATGTAAGTGCTGCATTCTTTATTTCTTCTTTCTTGAAAATAAAATCATGTATTTGTGCTGTGCCAAAGCATTACATCTGGAACACATAAGTACATGCTGGGGTATAAACTAAGCTTGTTTTTTTCTTTTGAGACGGTCTTGCTCTGTCGCCAAGCTGGAGTGCATTAGTGTGAGCACGGCTCATTGCAGCCTCAAACGACTGGGCTCAAGCTATCCTCCCACCTTAGCCTCCCAAGTATGTGGGACTACAGACATGTGCCGCCACACCCAACTAATTTTTAAATTTTTTTATAGAAATAGAGTCTCGCTTTGCTGCCCAGGCTGGTCTCAAACTCCTGGCCTGAGGCAATGCTCCCACTTCAACCTCCCAAAGTGCTGGGATTACAGGCGTGAGCCACTGCGTCTAGCCTAAACTAAACTTTTAATATGTGATATTACTCCCTTTTTATTTTTATTCCATTCTTCAAACTATGATGGGAGTGAATTGGTGGGGAGGGGCCAAGATTGTTTTAGTAGCAGAACTCTTTCCTCATATGAAATCATACTCCTTTGCCCAACAGATAAAACAATATAAAATGGAGCCTGGCTTCAATTCTCCTACCACCACCTGGTGCCTCCAGGACTGTGGGGTCTCCCAGTTCTCACCACACTTCTCAAGGCATGAAGCAAGGGGTCATGGGAGTATCTTAGAGATCTCCATCCCATCCTTAGCATGAAGGAAAGCCAGATCTGTCATATCTGCGACCAGGTGCCAGATGCACTCCCATTTCACAAATTCAGGAATTAAGTGTCTTATCCAAACCTTAAATTAGACACTATAGTATACTGTCTTACTTTCTTCAAAAAGGAAAAGAGACATTATGCCCCTGGAGTTTTGTCAGTGCAGTTTGATGTCTGTGCAATTTGCCTACTCAGCAGACTCAATGACTAGGGAAGCTGAGTGAGCAGTGCCACCAGCAAAAAGGAATTCAGGTTCCACACTTAATATTGTTAAGATGGCAAAACTCCCCAAGTGATCTATAGAGTCAATGCAACCCCTATCAAAATCTCAGGTCCCTTTTTGCAGAAACTAACAAGCTGATCCTAAAATTCATAGGGAGATCCAGAATGGCCAAAATAATCTAGAAAAAGCAGGACAGGCTGGGCACAGTGGCTCACACCTACAATCCCAGCACTTTGGCAGGCCAAGGTGGGAGGATTACTTGAGCCCAGGAGTTTGAGACCAGCCTGGGTAACATAGCCAGACCCAGTCTCTACAAAAAATAAATAAATAAAAATTAAAAATTAGCTGGGTGTGGTTGCACACATCTGTAGTCTCAGCTACTTGGGAGGCTGAGGTGGGAGGATTGCTTGAGCCCAAGAGGTCAAGGCCACAGTGAGCAGTGATCGTACCACTGCACTTCAGCCTGGGTGACAGAGCAAGTCTCTGTCTCACAAAAAAGAAAAAAAGAAAAAAGAAAAAGAAGGACAAAGTTGGAGGACTCATACTTCCTGATTTCAAAACTTACTACAAAGCTATAGAAGTCAAGACAGTATAGACAGCAATACTGGCATAAGGATAGACATACAGATGAATGGACTAGAATTGAGAATGCAGAAATAAATGCTTACATTTATAATAAATTGATTTTTGACAAGAGTATCAAAACAATTTAATGGGGAAGAAGAGTCTTTTCAACACATGGTTCTGGGACAACAGGATTTCCATATGCAAAAAATGAAGCTAGGCCCCTACCTCACACCATATGCAAACATCAATTCAAAACAGATCAAAGTTCTAAATCTAAGAGCTAAAACTATAAAACTCTTATAAGAATATATAGGCATATGGCCAGTTGCAGTGGCTCACGCTTGTAATCCCAGCACTTTGGGAAGTCAAGGCAGGCAGATCACGAGGTCAAGCATTTGAGACCAACCTGACCAACATGGCGAAACCCTGCCACTACTAAAAATACAAAAATCTGCCGGGTGTGATGGTACACACCTGTAGTCCCAGCGACTCAAGAGGCTGAGGCAGGAGAATCATTTGAAACTGGAAGGTGGAGGTTGCAGTGAGCTGAGATCATGCCACTGTACTCCAGCCTGGGTGAAAGAGCAAAACTCCATCTCAAAAAAAAAAAAAAAAAGAATATATAGGCATAAGTCTTCATGACCTTGCATTAGGCAAAGGTTTCTTAGGTATGATACCAAAAGCATAGGCAACCCAAGAAAAATAGATAAATTGAACTTCACCAAGATTAAAACCTGGCACTTCAAAGAACACCATCAAGAAAGTGAAAAAATAACCCACAGAATGGGCAAAAAGTATTTTAAAATCATAGCTGATAAGGAACCAAATTCAGAATACACAAAGAACACTTACAACTCAATAATAAAGAGACATATAATCCAATCTAAAAATGGATAAAAGACCAAATATACATTTCTCCAAAGAAGACACACAAATGGCCAATAAGCACATGAAAGAACGCACATCATCATTAGCCATCAGGGAAATGCAAATCAAAGTCACAATGAGATGTCACTTCATACCCACTTAGGATGGCAATAATCAAAAGATGGATAATAACAAGTGTTGATGAGGATGTGGAGAAACTGGAAACCTCATGCACTGCTGATGGGATTGTAAAACGGTGCAGCCACTTTGGAAACAGTTTGGCAGTTCCTCAAAATGTTACAGTTACCATATACCCAGCAATTCCACTGATAGATATATATTCAAGAGAAATAAAACCATATGTCCATAGAAGTTTGTATATTCTTCCCTAGGGAAGGGAAGAGCCAGGGCAGGTAAAAGAGAAGAGAAATGCAAATGGACAAAGAAAACACTCTTGGACATAATTAAATGGGAAAATGTTAGTTGTTAGCACTGTCCAGGCCAAATAAAGAATTAAAAAAAAAAAAAAAATAGGCCAGGTACAGTGGCTCATGTCTCTAATCCCAGCACTTCAGGAGGCCAAGGCGGGAGGATTGCTTGAGCTCAGGGGTTCAAGACCAGCCTGGGCAACATGGCAAAACCTGTCTCTACTAAAAATACAAAAAATTCGCCTGTGGTGGCACATGCCTCCCAGCTACTAGGGAGGCTGAGGCACGAGAATCACTTGAACCGGGGAGGCAGAGGATGCAGCGAGCTGAGATACCACCCTGGACAACAGAGCAAAACTCTGTCTTAAAAATAATAATAATAATAAAAATAAATAAAAACAGGCCAGGCGTGGTGGCTCACTCCTGTAATCCCAGCACTTTGGGAGGCCAAAGTGGGTGGATCACGAGGTCAGGAGTTCAAGACCAGCCTGGCCAAGATGGTGAAACCCCATCTCTACTAAAAAGTACAAAAATTAGCCAGGTGCAGTGACAGGTGCCTATAATCCCAGCTACTCAGGAGGCTGAAGCAGAAGAATCACTTGAACCTGGGTAGCAGAGGTTGCAGTGAGCCAAGATCATGCCAGTGCACTCCAGCCAGGGTGACAGAGTGAGACTCCGTCTATAAATAAATAAATAAATAAATAAATAAATAAATAAATACAAAGAAACAAAATCCATTGGTAAGTAATACATACAAAATGAGCCCATTGTGTTGGTTTTCAAAGACACTCACAGGCACCCATGCTTGTGTGAGTAAACAAAAGCAAGAGAAATCTATGCCCAGTTGATCACAAACATTCCCTTTGGAAGCAAGCCTGGGATGGGGAAGGCAGAATTTGATTTTTTACTTCTTTTTTTAATCTCAGCATATTATACCTGTAATTACTTTTAACTCTACAACTTCTGATATGTTTACATTTGTGTTCAATAAGAATATAATCAGGATTTCTTATTTATGTTTCTAGCCAAAAGGGAAGGAAAGAGAGAGAAAGCCACTGGAGTTGGGTAGCGTGGGAAGTTGTGAAAGTGGACAAGCATGAAAGAGCTTCCAAGGAGTAGAAACAGCAGGAGCAAAGATGTGAACATGGGAAAACCTCCACAGTATCTGGGTGACTGTGGAGTTTGGCTCTGTTTGAGCACCCGGGGATGACTGCTGGTGGTGTGTGGCTGAAGGTGAATGGGAACAGTGCACTCAGCAACCAGGCTGCAAGAGTGCTGCATGCCCCTTAGGGATTGGCTCCAGCCAAGTGCCCTGGCCTCCTTTCCTGAAGCATTTTGGTTTTGACTTGGGCCCCATGTCCAGTTCTGCCCTGACATGTGGGTCCACCTTGGAAAAGTCAGGAGACACCTGGGAAATGAAGGCACTAGACTCTTCCAGACTCGTTCCATGGCCACCCAGAGGCCTTGGGTCATCTACCCAACATCCCAACAAACCCAACTGTGCACTGGCATCATGCCAGGGGCCAGGTGTTCTGCCAGGAGCAGCCTCTGCCCTCCCAGAGCTGACATTTCAGGGAGATGTGTGCCAAAGCGAGACCTGTCAGAGATATTTACAAACAGCCATCTCTCTTTACATTGCTGTACCCCAAATAAATCTTCTGGGAAGACTCTCTTCACCTCCAGCTCTCCTGATACAGCAAGACAGTTGTGAACAAGTTATTTATAACTCTATACTTCAATTTCCTGGTATGGAAGATGGGGATAATGAGAGGACCTGTGCCACAGGATGGTTGTGGAGACTGTATGAGGATATAGGTGCTGAGCCCAGTAGCACAGGGTACAGCCGTTCAAACCAACTGACATTTATTGAGGGCTGCTTTGTCAGGTCCCTCTCTACAGTATACTCCAACACACACATACACACACAGCTGTAATCAGTGACAATCCTGCAACATCTGAGAGTCTGGCAGCTTTTGTCTGGGCCTTTGCACATGCTATGTCCTCCCTTCCATCCCCCACCGGGGGTGACTCATAGCCATCCCTTTCTGCATCTCATCAGATACCACTTTTTCCAAGAAGCCTCCCTGTCGCACCATTTCCCCAACATCACAGATGAAGGAAAAAAGACTTAGAAAGGTTAAGTTACTGGCACGAGGTCACACAATCCAGATCTCATACTCTTAGCCCCCTAGGAACCTTACACTGTATTAAATGACATCAATGGATCAATCAATGGAAAGAGTGGGACGCATGCATCTCCTGATCCCTGATCCTATACATTTTCATCTCTTTGTTGTTTCTATCAAAGCCTGCTAAGTAACTACTTTTCCTCTAGGTGAGTGCCACTAGGTGATGAGGTGAGGTAATCAAATGACACAAAAGAGGAAGGAGTCCACCACCAGGTTAGGTGCAGTGGAGCAAGTCTTACAATGTGCAGGATTATAACTCCAGCAATGACCCCTAGGCTTATGCTCATTCCCCAGGTGGCAGTTTCAGAACACACTGCTCAGGTCTCACCCTGTAAAGGTAGGTACCAACCTTCTAGTAAGCCATCAGAACACACAATGCCAAGATCTTACTCCAGCCACCTGCCAGGACCTGGGGGGCAGTAGGAGAGTTCTCCCTACATTGTCTCATTTTCCCTCCCCTTCTGCAGTGAGATAGACCATGTCCAGTGCTCAAGAGTTGACTGGCCACACTGGGGAGTTTGACCACAACCTTGGGCTCCATATGCATGGAATGAGGTTGCCTGCAATTGTCCATGAGGCTCCTCCCTCATTTGTCTGGGTTTATGCTCCAGTGCTATCTCCTCAGAGACCACCTCTGACCAAAGCCAGCTCTGCCTCCATCCCATCACTCTGGATCTCCTTCCCCAGCTTCATCTCCATTACACTGGCCACTCTCCCTCACATCTTATTAGTGATCTAGTTGTCTGCTGTCCATCTCCACCACTGGGATGTAAACTCCACAAGGGAGGAATGCTGTCAGTTTCCTTGACTGCTGTGTGGTCAGTACCAGGGCAATGCCTGGTACAGAGTAGCCCTCTCTCCCTAAATGTTTTTGAATAAATGAAAAAAATGAGCTAAGTGGCTAAGATAGGTGTAGATACGACCTCAATTAGGAACAGTCTTGCCCGTCCTCTTTTTTTTCTTTTTTTAAGAAAAAAAAATGGGCCCAGCACGGTGACTCATGCCTGTAATCCCAGCACTTTGGGAGGCCAAGGCAGGTGATCACTTGAGCCCAGGTGTTCGAGACCAACCTGGGCAACATGGTGAAATCCCATCTCTACAAAAACTACAAAAATTAGCTAGGCATGGTGGTGCATGCCCATAGTCCCAGTTACTCGGGAGGCTAAGGCGGAAGGATCACTTGAGCCTGAGAGGCAGATGTTGCAGTGAGTCAAGATCACGCCACTGCATGCCAGCCTGGGCTCTTAAGAAAGCAAGACCCTATCTCTAAAAAAGAAAAAAGAGCTGGGCATGGTGGCTCACGCCTGTAATCCCAGCACTTTGGGAGGCCGAGACGGGCGGATCATGAGGTCAGGAGATCGCGACCATCCTGGCTAACATGGTGAAACCCGTCTCTACTAAAAATACAAAAGAATTAGCCGGGTGTGGTTGCTGGCGCCTGTAGTCCCAGCTACTTGGGAGGCTGAGGCAGGAGAATGGCGTAAACCCGGGAGGCGGAGCTTGCAGTGAGCCGAGATCGCACTACTGCACTCCAGCCTGGGCGACAGAGCAAGACTCCGTCTCAAAAAAAAAAAAAAAAAAAGCAAAAAGAAAAAGAAATGTGTACCCATTTTCATAACTGAATAAACAATTTTCATCAAAGTAAAGAAGAAAGCAAAGCTTGTCACCAAACCTCTCCACAGCAGACCTCACTCCACCCATCATGCTAGTAATATCCCATGAAGAAACTGACTCAATAAATTAGAATTATATATTAAAAATCTCATTTTAACTTGAGTTTCAACTTGTGAAAGTGAAGTGATATGAATTAAAGAATATTTGTACAAACCATTAAGAAAATGGGTCCAAGGATTAATTTTCTTTTAAATATAGCTAGGGTCACATTAATAAATTGATTAAGGAATGATACAGAAAAATCCAGGAAAAGAACAAAAGAGACACCCCTACCTCCAACCCAGTGCAGTTCAGGAGCCTGAACAATACAGAACTTGGCCTTGAAGGGTTACTAAACTATGGCAATGGCCTTTCTGCTTCATGCTTCTTTGCCTCAGACCCCCTCTGGTGACACATGACTGGGCAGCGTACTAAGTTCTGGTCAGGAGCTCAGGGACCTTAGTTACGGCAGAGAACTTTAGAGATGGATATTGATGGATGCAGGATGGTCAGGACACGAAGCAGACCAGAAGGACCAGAACGGTAGCATGCAGGAGGCCACAGCTCGTCCTCATCACAGTGGTATAGGGACTGCATCTGGTTCTCTGCCCCCTCTCCTTCAATAGTTCTCTGTTCCCTCTCCTCCAATGGAACAGGCTATTGCAGGAGGCGACAAGTTCCCTGTGCCTAGAGGATTCAAGCTTAGGTTAAACAGTAACTAGGAAGAGATGTTGCAGGGGTGATTTAATCTGGAGGTGAAAGTATGCCACATTCATGGTCACTTTCAACCCTGAGCTCCTGACCAGCAACTAGTTCCTTTGCATTTCACTACTCTCCAAACTCGCCTCACTTCAGTCAATGGGTGTTCATTCACTCAGGACAGTTATTGTGCACCAGCTATATGCCATGGGCCAGGAGTCAGTAGTGAACAGGACAACACACCTCTGCCCTCTTGAATCCTACGTTCTCCTGGGTGGATGCACACAATAAACCCATAAATCGATGCATGAATAAGATCATCCCAGGCAAGCTCTATGAATAAAATACAAGAAAGAGTGTGATAGTAACTAATGGGGGAGGGGCTGCTTTGGATAGAGTAATCAGAAAAACCACCTGTACAGGGGAGACATCTGAGCAAAAGGGCAAGAAAGAGCCCAGCATGGAAGAAGTGATGGAAAAGCATGCTAGGTTGAGGGAACAGCAAGTACAAAGGCCCTCAGAAGTCTTCTGAAAACTTGAACTCAAATGTTCATGAATTGCATCCCAGCCTAAAGGTCTCACTACAGGCCAACAGTCCCTAACCTCACAGCCTGTGTCTCTTTCCCCTAATTGACCAAGTCAAGGCTGACCTGTATTGCCTACTGAAAAGTGTGTTCTGGGAGGGGGAACAAGGGCAGCCCCCAATTTGCAGGGAACTGAGATGTAACGGGGGCAAGAACCTTCACTTTCCTACCAGAGGTTCAGAGTCCACTTACAGGCCTCATGGAGAATACAATGTAAGGGGAAACTTCTGGAAAAATAACTGTGCTTCAAGTGCCTCATGTATATTTCAGGACATTCCCTGGGGCTCCAGGTACAGAGCTCTTATCTGTGGAGTTCCAGAAGACAGAAACTAAATTTCCAAGAAGATACTAAATGGGTGCAGCCCAGGAAAACTCTACAGATGGAGGGAGCAATCTGCTAGAAATGAATGAATGCAGGAGAAGAAGACAAGATCAGGTCCCTGGACCCTGAAATAGACTCCTGCACTCACAGAGACTAGACAATATCAGCCTGTCAGGGGACCCAAGGCCTAAAAGAATCAAGTGAAATCTACCCACCCTCCCCTCGCCAACAAGAGGCAAACATCCAATCGCACCCCAGAGCTTCCAAAGAAGATCCAAGACCCCACTTCCCAACAGTGTCCTTGACAAAGTTCATCTCTAATCCCACATTCTGAGATATACTTTGCACAAGGCTGGTTAGCCACAGGAGGTATTACAGTAAAGCTCAAATTTCCCAGGGCGGAAGGGAACACCATGGCTGCTGTGTAACCACCACCAGCTCCTTACCAGAAGAAGGGGAAGGAGCAACAGCCTGCAGACCCACCTCATTGAGAAGCTAGGGCTGTGCACGCTCTGTTAGATGTCAGTGATAATAATCACAAGAGCAGCTAACACAGAGGATTTATCCTGCCCCAGTCAGTATTTTAAGCACTTTATCCCTATACAAGTCTTTAAGGTTTGTACTATTTTCATCCCCACCTTACAGATGAGAAAACTGAGGCATAGGTAAGTGAAGTAACTTGCCCAGGACTACACAGCCAAGACAAAGATCCAGCGAAGCTCTCCTCCTCCACACCCAGGGAAGAAAGTGGTTATACCTGGGTAGTGCATGAAACGCTTAAAAATAAGTTTCTACCGGTACATTCAGGTCAACTACCGTCTGGCAATTCCCACGTCCTCGCCCAGTGCGGGAAGCAAGCCTGGGCCAGGCAGTAAATCCAGCAACCCGAGTCCTCGAGGAACAAGGCGCTCTGTTTCCGCAACATTCAAGCGCGTGATGGGGCCGCTGATAGTGCAAAAGCAGCTCTCCACCACCGCAAAGCTCATGGGAACCCGTTTCCACTCGGCTCAGTCGGCCTCAGAAAACGCTCACCCGTCTCTGGCTGCGAGGCACCCACGCTGACCTTAACCCCTTGGCGTCCGCCACCCTGGCGTCCTATCTCTGCATCTTCTGGCCGCTCGGTTTAAAAGATGCAGCCGCCGGGACAAGGGCCTCAGGCAGGCTGGGACGGCGCCCGCCGCCCGGAGCGCCCTGAGTCCCGCTCCCCCGCCGCGAAGTGACCCGCGGCCCTGTGAGCCGCCACCAGCAGCGCGCAACGCGACGCTGACCTGCGAGTGCCCCGCCAGGCTGGAGAAGAAAGTTGGGCGAAAGGGGCGCGTCCCAGGACAGGTGGCGCCTCCCTCCCCGGAAGTGGCTCCGGGAATTTTCGCTCAAGGGGCTACCCGGGGACCAGAGTCAGGGTCCCCAGCAGGAGCGACGACTGGTCGACGCTGGCGGTGGCACTGCCCACTTGCCCTGCGCCCAGTGCGCCCCCGTGCGCTGGGCGTACCCTAGACCAGGGAGCGCTCAGGCCCCGCCGGGGGCGCCGAGACCTGGCGGGGTAACTCGGAGGTGGGAGTGGCGGGGGTCCAGCTCGGGGACCGGGGCAAAGGGGGAACCAGCCCGGAAGAGGGTCTCACTTCGGGAGATCTAGCAGGGGTGTCCCACCAAGGGGGTGTCCAGCCGGGAAGGGTCTAGCCGGGGAGCTGGGTTCCCGGCTGCTGCCCGCACTCACCTCGGCCCCCGCGCTAGTTCGGCCTCTCCAGGCTGGAGAACTCACCGCGGAGGCG